CTCACCGCAGCCCACCGGCTCACCGCACCAGCTCACCGCTGGCGGGCTCGGCTCCCCTCCCATGACCAGTGTGTGAAGGCAGGCGGAAAAACAGTGCAGGGGCATGGGATGTCAGAGTTTTGTCCCTTCCAGCCAAGAGGAGGGATACTCCTTTCCTTGGATGGCTGTGCGCTTCAGATCCCTCTGCTCCCAGGAGGGGCATTTATAAGGCAATGTTTTCCCCTCCCTTATTCAGATGCTTTTGGAAATTCAGCACCTCTGTTGCCATTAGATTTGGAGGCTGAGTCATTTCCAGTGGGTTTCACCTACAGACTTTCCACAAAGGAAGTCAGATTTTGAAGGGCAAGCTGCAATCTGCTTTACATTGCTTTAAATAAAACAAACCCAAAGAACAGGCTTTACTTCCTTCCCTTTTCAACGATGGCCGAGAGATCTGGCATCAGCAATGTCACACTTGCAGCCACTCTTCAACAGCCTGACAAAAGGGGGGTATTTTTTTGTTCTTTTTTCCTATGTTCAGCCGCCAGCAGGGCTGGAGCCATGGAAAACCTCCGCAAATTATCTGCTGAATTGGGAATGTGAAACTCTACCCGTGAAAGTTCAACTTTGTAAAATACACTACGGAATAAGTGACTGGCATCTGAGGAACCCGGTTCCTGATGGTGTCTAAAAACCATCAGTGCAGGCAAATTCCTAGAGGAGAGACTTTCTCAGTTACTGAACATTTGCATCAAAAAGAAGAAAACTTACCAATATTAATCTCATCATCCGTTAGCGTGTCACCAATAAAGTCGAACTGAAAGGACTGCAAAGTCTGGGAGAATTTCTGTACCGCTGATGAGTAACCTGGAAAAGGACAGAGCAATAAGGCCGTGCATTTTCGCAATTGTTATACAGAAGCGGCAAGTCTTAGAAATCTAGCCTGAATGGAACAAAACTATAGTGAGGAGGTTAGAAAAATCCATAAGCATTATGAATTTAAGTACTTGAGAAAATATTGCAAGGTTAATAACCATTAGAGGCTGCAGAGAGCATTTGCTTTGTTTGGTTTTCTCTTTCTTTCTCATTGTTGTTGAAAACGCTTCTGCAATACCAATGGATGCACTGAATCGTACAACCAGCCGATCAACAGCCTCATGTCCTGCTGTGTAGAGGAAGGGACACCGACACATTTCCCCCGCAGGAAAACAGCAGCTTCAAACGCAGCATTCACCGCGGCCGCAGGAACACGTCCAGAGAAGTAGACAGCTCCAGTGCCATCCATGCATCGGCACAGCTCCTCGGAGCACCGAGGCCGTCAGACAGGCTTGTCACTGTTCAAAGTAATTTTTTCATTATATGGGAGAAAAATCTGTAGAGTCAGAAAATAAACACGGGGAAAAAGATAGGACTCAAAATAACTGCCCTTTTTCAGGGGGTCACAGACACAAACAGGCCCTAAGAGAAGTACGACAGTGCCGCAGTTGAGCGTGGCGAGCCGGAGGGCTCGAGCGGTGCTGGTCAGAGCGTCTGCAGATGGCCCTGGGACCCGCTCCCGGCCGGCTGGGGAAGAAACGTTCAGTCTTGAAGCAAAGACACTTCCTGACGGTGGTTGGTAGCTCAGCCCAAATTATTTTTGGACTTTCCAGAGGAGTTTCTAGCCAAAAAGGATCCTTTGTGTCTTTGCATCCTGTGCGGCTGCTTCACAGCTCCATCAGTGGCTCCGTTGTTGCCGACGTCTGCCGACGCTGGCAGAGGAGCTGCAGCCAGGATGGGGCAGCGACAACGCAGCAGACCCCAATGTCAAAATCACCCACCTAGTGATAGCCGTGACAGCCACAGGTCACACTTCACCGCAGAAAAAACCGAGTCCTTATCCCGCTGGCAGAGCACAGGAGGGAGATGTGATGGATTTGACAGCCTCACATCAACCACATCTTCCTGTACAGAGTTACATGCTTTTTTAGGGGGCGAGTCTTTCTCCAACAGCAAATACTCAAGATGCTAACAGGAGGAGGCTGACCTTGCCTGACCTTAGGGAACAGGACGTAGATAATACAACAAAAGCAAAGGAATAATTTTATGCCTTGATTTACATTGCTATTTTCCCTAATTTTGGACTCCAGCTATAGGCACAGTCCCTGGCTGGATTTCGTTGTGGGGTGCACCGGAGCCAGCGCTTTCTGAAATTCAGGAAGCTGCAAGCGTGGAAGACGTGAAGGCACAGACAGTAACGTGCAACCAGCTCTCACACCCCTGCCTTGCCAAACCAGGGGGAAGACTGCTTGAACAGAGCAACTCTCTGCACATGGGTGGGGTTTTTTTAGTTTTTTTTTGAACAGACAGACAAATTAAAGACACGCACAATCACTTTTGGCATCAGTTGTTAAAATATGGGGGGAAATAATGGCCAAAAAATGAGGTGTGAATTAGTGAGGAATTGTGTCTGCAGAGCGTAGGGTTACCCCCTGCATTTCTAGCCTGAGGAAAACAGTGATCTGGGTGTATTTTTGTTTGTTCTTTTCCATTCCAGACTCAGCAACAAAAGAATTTATCACCAGGGCAGCAAACACCGGGTTTTCTGAAACACTGCTACGCAGGGGAGAGAAAAATTAGACAACACTGAGCATTGGGGAAAGAAATCAAGTGGCCCGCGTGGGATGTCGGCAGGTCCCCAGACTGCTCTGCTTGCCCCGTCCCTAGGTCAGGAGCATCCCGGGGCCACCCAGCCCTCCCCAAGGCCCCAAAGCAACCGTGGCATGCGGGGACAGCCAGGTCCCCGGCCCGAGGAGGAACGCGGCCTCAGAGCGCAGACAGTCCCCGCTTTCCCCTCAAAAGCCCCGTTCAGCAGTTTCCTCCGACGGGTCAAACCTATGCTCCTCAATGGGCAGATTGAGGCCTGAATGTGGCTATTTAACCACAGCTGCCGGGGGGCTGCCAGCGCGTAAATGGGTGAACTCCAGCACAGAATGATGTCATTGATTTGATGGAAAACCTCAGCAAATAATTCACTCTCAGTCTATGCAGCGTTTGCTTCAGGCCAGGGCTGGAGGCTTTTATTCAAGTTGTTGCTCAGGGGAATCTTTGTTCGTCCCCTTGCAATCTCTCATCATCTTCCCTGGATGCTGCTGATGGCCCCTGCCCGGCTCCTCCCGGACTACCTCTATCAATCAGCGGGTGAACCTCAATCACTCCATTTGCACGCCCATCCCGACCCAGCA